CTGAGATGAGCCCTGAGCTCCACAAACAAATCAATCATCTGGCCAAGATCAGCAGCATTCCCATGGGAATACAAAAGGGTGAGCTTGGCCAATGGGTGCTTCCAAAATGTGGCAACAATCTTGTTCCCAGACTTGGTATCAATCAAAGCGACATCAACATTCTTATCAGCAGAGAGCCCAGAAAAATACAGCTTCCCTTCTCCTCCCCCTTCTCTGAATACATCATATGTTGGAGGCTCTGGAGGGAAAAATGCAAATTTGGCTGCCACTTGAGATGTCACATTGCCCATCTCTTCAAAAAAAAAAATATTCTTGTTATTGTTTGTTCATAGAATTTTTGCAAATTCTTTTGGGTTTTTTTTCTTTTTTTGTATGAGGGGGTGAGAGAGGAGGGAGGGGAGGAGACAGAACCAGGTGGATTGTGGGCATTTATTAGATTGTGTTTGTGTGGCGTTTTTTATTTTTTAATTTTAATTTTTTTTAAAATTTTATTGGGAGTTAGTTAAATTAGTAGTTATGTTTTAGGGAGGTGGGCTCTTTGATCAAAAAGTGAGTTGTGATGATGAGCTGGATTAAAGTGAGAACAAAGTATAATAATGCCCAACTGTTCTTTTTCTTTTCCTTGATTTGTTTTTGATTTTCTTTTCTTTTCTTTTCTTTTGATTTTTGTCATATGTGAAAAGTGGAGGGGTTATTTTAATAATAGGAGTTAGGCCTTCATCATAGTGGTGTTTGACTGTCTTGAGGTTAATATGTCATGTTTTGCAACGCACCTTTGAGCATGTGTATTGCATGTGGGGGAAGAGAGAGAGAGAGACAGAGAGATTATTCTGTGAGGAAGCATTGTGTAAACAAAAGTATACAAGGGTTTATTTGTCAATCAATTTTTTAGAGTGAGCATTAATGATTTGGGAAAATAATTGATAAAAAAAGCCACTTGGAAAATATTTCCATTACGGCTTGCATGGGTAATTCATATTTACAAGAAACTTTTCAAACCATATATACTTTATTAGTTCAAACAATTTATAAGGCTAATACGCAATACAATTTGTTAATTTCAACACAAATTTTTTTTTGTCAAACACGAAAAACATATTACACTTCTCAACCAGTTATAATTTATGTTCTCAAGTAAATGATTTTTTGGCAAAATGTTTGATTGGATATCAACTTCTTTCATTTTATGACTCAGTTTTTGTTTTTATTTTTTGAGAAAATAACTCAGTTTTTTATCAAGTCACAACTATAACTATCAACGTTTTCCAAAAATTGCAAGTGAGAGGCCTGAACATTAATTACTTCTCATCTTGTTCCTTTTGAATCTAACATTGTTATTTTTTCTCTTGTGATCTAATATTTGTTCCCTTTTTAAAGAGAAACTGTCATTTTGAGAACTTCTAACAAAAGCATATGAAGAAGAAGAAGAAAAGAAGCAATGCCAAATGTAAAAGATCAGGGGTGAAAGTGAATAATAACAGAAAATGACAGCTGATCTCTAGTTATGGGAAGCAACGGTCAAGATTTGGTCAAAGGCTGACGCCAATAAGGAGAAGGAAGTGTCAGACATTCTCCCTTCTTCATAGGTTAGTCGTCACCTCAACCTGCCAAAATGTCTGTGCGTTGTTACTTCTTTTTGGAACCATATTTCACAATTACATCCCTGTACATTCTCACATATTACAACCATGCCCCAAACTCTAGGGTATAGGGACTGCTCCTCAAATTTGTTTCAGTCGACAAAAACTTTCTAACAAATGATCCTTCAATTTATCATTTTTAAGACAAAGTAAACTTTTTACCTCAATTTTCATTATTATTATTTTTTTTATATTACATAGTCAGTCCTTGATATGAAGGATCATCTACTCCCATCAATTTCCATTTGTCATTCCATTAATACAAACAGTGCTCAGTCACTCTGTTGGATTTTTTTTTTCTTTTCATTTTTTAAGTAAAAAAATAGAGCGAGATGCCCTATTCAAAATTTCATTAAAATAACTTTAGAAACTTAAGCAGACTTAATATCAACAAGTTATATATAGTTTTCAAAAATAATAGACCAGGAAGCGGACCTTCTTATCACCCACAACTACTGATCTGAGGAAACTGTAGATAACTACGATGTAAAGAAAACATTAGAACTGAAGCAAGAATAAAACAATAGCTAAGCGAGCTGACGAACCAACTTGTATAAGTTCACACCAAAGAGACCAAAAGATCAAGTAGTGTTAGCTAATTTATTACAAACCTAACGAAAAGTATTGTATCAGAAATTGCTACCCCAACATCTTCTTGGTATTCTAAAATTTGGAGAATTTTGAGCTTTTTTTTGGTCCAACAGATTCCCCATCTCATTCCCCAAAATGGGGATAGGAGAGAAAAAATAGAGAGCCTTCCCCAAATCTGCAGCATTCTGCAAATATTTGGGGAAGCACTTTTTCACGTTCTTCTAGACTCAACCCACAAAAAACAACTCCATCTCCTCATTATAATAATAAATAATTTGGTCAAAATGGGGATTCTTCAAAATAATAAATAATTTATTATTTATTAGTCAAAGATGTAGAATATTTTTATTATTGTAATAAATGCATGATTCTTCAAAATGGGGAAGCTGTTGGAGTTGGAGCAAAAATAATTTGGAGAATATGACATTTGATTTCCCATTTTGGAGAAATTTTTGGGGAAGCTGTTGGAGATGCTCTTAGAGTACCCTGGCTAGAATGTAATGAAATGAGTAATTAATGTTAGTTGTCATCTGCTTGGGGGTGAATTTCTCCTCATTAAAAAATGTTATTGTTTCTAGCTCTCGATAGACACCCTATTGGTTTTTAATAATCAATTTTTTATTTTATTCAATTAACTAGTTATTTGCTCTCCTCCCAAAAAAATAAAAATAAAATAAGAACATAAAAAAATAAAATAAAAATTTTCCATGTTATCCATTAGCATTCGGAAAAAATTGTTTAATAAATCTTGTTTAATATAGTTTGTAGGGCAATTATTATAAGACCACCTTCAGGTTTTACAAGTTATTATGAAACACCCAAACTTTTTTTTTTTCATTACAACACTCCTTAATTACCATTGGAAAATTTGTTAAAATCTATTAAAATTCTACCTTTTTCTCTAAAATACCTGTCAGTAATGCTTATCTTCTTCCTCAATATTGCAAAATCTGTCTCCCTTCTCTTCGCGTCAAATCAAATAAAATGACCCATTGATAAAGAGAATATTATAAGAAGATCAAGTTAATCTCTTCAAACCCTTTGATTTTAGCCTCTAGAAAATATTTGATGTAACTTATAGTTTCTACTTTGCATTTTATCTTGAAGAGAAAGGGAAAATATGTCAAGGGGAAGAAGAAGAGGGTAGTTTCAAAATATAGATGGTTTTTAACGATCTTTTTGACATCAGGATGTTTTGTAATGAAAACAATAACGCTAACGGATTTCATAATAAGTGATCAAACTCACTATTTTAAAAAGCCTCCGCCTAGTCCGCCTAAGTATACACTTAGACCTAGACGGTATATAGGACGCCTAACTAGCGCCTAGCGGCTAGGCGGTAGGTACGAAGCCTTTTTTCAAAGCTCGACTGATAACATTCGAGATTATGCAGGATACATGTCAAAAGGAAAAAAAACGCCTTGTTTCAGGTATAGTAATACTATGAATGACCCAGTATCGACTAGGCTGCCCACCTAGGTTTTGAGAGTGTTTAGATGAGAATTGTATGCTTATGTGGACTGCACCCTTTAGGCATGTATTATCATTTTTTGTATTGTAGTCTCCACGTCCTCTAACTTCCTCCAAACTATGTTAACCTCCAAATATGAACATCTCCACTATCTCCTCCGACCTTCAACAAAACCTCCTCAATCGCCACTTAAATAAAGAAAGAAATCCTCCTAGACACCAGACCGACACTTTAAACTTCAATAACATTGATATTTACTATCAGTTATTGTAATTAAAAAATAAAAAAAATAAAACCTCCTAGGCTTTAGGCATTGGGTCTGACGCCTAGGCTTCCTAACGTTTTTTTATAACATTGTTAATTATTATTTTGGCTATTTAGTATCTAACTATGCATGGTTATTGTGGATCTAAGATTGTTGTCTTTTTTTACAAATTTATATGAATTTGATACATATTTTTTATCAATTATTATAATTGAATAATTTAAAAATTAGTCAAACGTCTAGACGCCGCCTAGGCGCTAGCTCAAATACCTAGTCCACCTAGCGCCTTCTATAACATTGATCAAACTTGAGGGGGATTTCATAATGATGACCACAATTTGTGGTATAAGAGAATAATAGCATCTTAATCAATGTACTCTCCTTCAAACTCTTTGATTTTGCACTGATTACAGATTTGAACAGCTAACATTATATTTTTTACTTCGTAAGAATACTTTCGAGTATCCATGAAGTATTCCATCAGAAAGCATGAGGGAGAATGATGTGAGCTTCCCTTAAAAGAATCATCCTTTAAAAAAAACCATCATAGGAATTGATAATCTTGAGAGAAACAAAGCATTCCATGTGAGAAAGTCACAGCACTCTCTTGATCATTAGCTCAATGCATGAGTCTGAGCTGGTAATCTATGTGCAAATATGATTTGCATACTAATGACCAGATAAATATTAGCTGTTTCATGACATGTGATCAATTCTGAGTAAATTGCAAGCAAAGAATTATTACAGTTCCATGCTAAAAGCACCTTGGAGTGATAAAAATTTGCATTGATTGAAATCATTGCCTGTAATTTTTTGCAGAGTGGTCACCTTCAAGCTTTGGTTCACTTTCTTAAATATAGCGCTAATGAGCTTTTCTCTTTTGTTAGCCAAGAAATTGTCCTTTTGATAGTGAATAATGGTGCAAGTATTAAGACCAGGACATGAGACCTCACATATATCATTCAAGGAAATTTTTTACATCTGCTATAGTATCTCCGTAGCATTCTCAAAATGGTTTTTTAAGATAATGCCCTTCATGAACCTTGTTTAATTTTTCCGTCGTCTCCAAAAAAATCTTTGTATCATTTTAGGTAAATAAAAATACAAATTTTTAGGATATATATAAATTGATATGATGAGATGATTATCCGATTTCTTATCATGAGCTATTCGATCTTCTGATCAATGGTTGGCAATATCTATTTTGTTTTATATTAGACAGTTTAAACAACCATCTAGCTATTTGTTAATAGCTAGGTGGCATATAGATTAGAAACTCTAAACTATATAATTGATCTCTTGTAATTTGAAATCAAGATGGACACTAACAACTAGCAAAGTGAGTAACGATGGGTTTATCCCACGATAAGAATCTAGTTTCACCTTTGTAATACTTATATATAGCGATACATGAGAAAAACTATTTTGTATGGATTTTGTTTCAAAATAAGCAGATTTCTATATGAATTTCAACACCAAATGAGTTTCTAATTTGCACATAAGTCAACAAGGAAAAAAAATATCATCTATCCATTTCAAACTTCTAAATCAGATATCTGAGCAAGTCTTCCAACTTTCTGGTAGATTGCACAAACTAGTAAAATGTTGCCAACTTATTCCACATGACATGAGACATCTCAACATCCTTCAAGATGGAATACAATAAGGATCTTGATGTAGAAATCTCTAAACTTGGTAAGATTTATCGGAAGATATCTGCTCCTCTATACTTAAAAGATGATCCAAAAATTTACTGTTTATGCTACAGTAAATGCAACCGCAAATTACTATAGTATAAGCAGTAATCTTTGGGTCCTTTAAATATAACTGAGCAATGTTATTGTTCATGCTACAAATAATTTACTGTATCATAAACAATATCTTTTTAAGTATAGAGCATTAGATATGATTTCTAATTTTAATCATACAATAATCAAATCAAATATATTAAAACTTAGAATGAGATACGTTTAAAATGAAATGCTTAAAAAAGAAGCTGAGGGTTACGGGTATAAACTAGTTCTTTATAAAGACAAGATGCCCTTTGCCACTTTGAGTACTATTCCTTTCTCATGACATGCATTAATAAGTCTAATCAAGACAAGATGTGGTCATGCATGGGACCGGTGAGCTGCTTTTGGGTAGCAAGTGGGCCTCTTTTTCACTTTGATGAGCTGGGACTTTTGTTTGGTCAACTGGTATAGAAAGGTATCAACATGGATAGGGATGTTGTTTGTGGAAGTTAGCGCATTTGGTTGAAAAAGGGATTCCTAGGGGAGACTGATGGTCCCATGCAATCCATGCCCCCTTTGAAATGATTGGTTCTGAGGGATATTCTTGGCTAAATAACCATTTATTCTGTTGTGCATTGTATTTAATGAAAAATCAGGCATTCTCGTTAGGATGGTAAACGATCAAATCGAATCGAATAGAATATTGAAATGTTCGTATTTGTATTTGTTTAAAATTATCGAATTTGAATGCGGATTCTATTATTCATATATCTAGTTTTTCGAATTCGAACTCGAATACTTGGTATTTGATAAACATTCATAAATATTCATGAATACTTATCGATTATCAAAGTATATTTATTTCACTGAACTATTTAATTTTCTAATAATATTAAAATTCATAAATAAAAATTATTTCTTTATAATATATGATCTATATATTTAAATCAAATTTTTAATTAGAAAACAGATTTAAGATTATTTAAGTCTTAAAATCAGTATATTAATTAGAAAACAGATTTAAGATTATTTAAGTCTTAAAATCAGTATATAAAACTTAAGTAGAAATGGTAAATGAGTTAAAAATAAGATTATTTAAGTCTTAAAATCAGTATATAAAACTTAAGTAGAAATGGTAAATGAGTTAAAAATATGACCTTATATGTGCAATAATACAAATAATAAGTTGTGATCAAAGTTTAAACGAATATTTAATAGACAAACGAATCGAATATATATCTGATTAAATTCTATTCTTTAGTAAACTCGAATACTAAAAAATATTTGTTTAGTATTAAATGAACTACTGAATCGAATATGACCAAATAGTTATTCGAACAATTATCGAACTATTTGTTAATTATTTGGTTTATTTTCATCCCTAATTCTCATAACATCCTAGGAGTCTAGAGATGATAATTTTGTTATTCCTCTTGGCCAAACAAAATTAGATCATGGCATTTGACAAGATTTTAGGAGATGCGTTGTGTTTCGCAGCGCAGAAAAACCTATCTAATCCTAATTCAGTTTTATTTTGACCGAGCGAGCTTTGTTCCACGGGGTTGACCGAAACAAAGCTAGTTCTAAAATCAAATATTTAGCCTTTGAAAATTGGACAATCCTGACTAAGTTCCTGCTAAACATAAAAAATTTGAAAGTCAGGATCAATCATAGCACAATTTTATAGATTAACCCAGGATGATAATAATATTATTAAGTATTCAGATTCTCAGGCATCATCTTACCAATCTTCTAATGAAGTGAATCATAATACAAAGTAGTCACTATCCATGGGGAGAAAAAAAAAATTCCAGTCATCTTTGAGACAATCACACATTTGGGAGTTATTAGTGCACTTTATTGAAAATGATAGATCGGTTGAGGAATTTAATGACGAAGAAAAACATTCATGGGCTGTTTTCTTATTGGTGATCTTCTTGCAAATTATCAAGAGCAAATTAATAACAAGCGGTTTTCTTGGCAAAAGAGAAGCGAGAGATTATGACTAAAATGACCAATCAAAAGCAAATTAACCAGGAAAAACACCCTGCTCGGATACAGGTATTCTGAATGGCTAAATGGGACTTAAATAGGGTCATTACCTTTATACTTAAATACCCTAAGTTGTAAAAAGTAACACTTTGATACCCTAAGTTGTAAAAAAAATAGCACTTAGACACCCTATTGTTCACCATCTTTACACTTAAATATCCTAAGTTGTAAGAAAGTAGCACTTTAATACCCCAAGTTGTAAGAAAGTAGCACTTGGATACCTTCTATTAATTGTCAATACATATTCATAGAAATATTCCCATGACAACTAACAGAAGATACTAACGTGCTAATTTTTTATAACTTAGGGTACTAAAGCGCTACTTTTTACAACTTAGATATTTACGTGTAAATGTGGTGAAACAATAGGATATTTAAGTGCCATTTATCCATTTTGAACTATACAAGAGGTAGGGTATTCAGATATGCTTTCAGTCTCATATTCAAATATATTATGATCCGTGCATATATGGCTCTCACAACTAAGTTCCTTCTCACTGAAAACTGCTAGTAGATAAATTGCCCCTCGTCCAGGCTACAATGCGGGTTTTCCTTATTCTTCTACATGTAGCATAATCCCCCAATATACATCCGAAACAGTATAAATTTCCCATGGAACTAAATCACGAAGCTCGAACGGAAACACCATTGTGCGATCTCGTAAATAATGTGCTCTCCTCTTGTACCTCAACTCTGCTCCCATCAACGAAAACCCAAGTCTCCGCTATTTTCTCTATTTCTCCATTCTTAATCTCAAGTAAGGTGAAGGCTCGGAGAGTGCCAGTTTCGTTGTGGCCTGAACTTACAATTTCAGGCTCAGGTTTAACTCTTGGAACAATTGCTCCGTTCAAGTAAATTGTGCCATCATCTCCGACCGCAATCATCTTCCTTTGTCCTCCATAGGTTAGTGCCTTGTGCATGTGGCCAAATACCACCAAAGGGATGGAAATTTGCATGCTTGATTTCAACTTGTGCAAAGCTTGAGCAAGATCTGCATTAAGGATTTTCCTTTAGGGCATGACATGTTTGGCTTTCGTGAAAAGAAAACGGGTAAATTTTCACAAAACTGCTATGAAAGGTACGTGATTAATGGCTTGCTTCACAAACCACTCTATGGACAATTTTGCTTTATATACTTTTCACTTTACTGAGAGAGAGCTTTTTGGGTAAAGACTATTAGACAATAATAAGGATACTTTAGACCTTTTATTCTCACATTAACCATGTTTATGACAATTTCTAATAGTTCAGGCATGGGGGGTTCGTATAGTTTTGAAAGTTCAGGGGATTTTCTCTGATTTGTAGAGCTAAAGAACTTCTGTGCAAAACAATCAAAAGTTAAGGTGGTTTTGTAAATTTTACATCACAAAGAACTGGAAACCCTATTTCAGTTTGTGTAATTCCTTACTACCAAACTGACGATGGAAGAAATTGGAATTTCATATGAAATATTGAGGGTAAAAATTTCTCAACTGCACCTGGATCGCCATGGTCACCTCCTCCATACACCCAGTCTCTTCCACAAATGTCGCTCATTGTTGATCCTAGCCCTGTATGGTATAAAAGCTCAGAAATATATTATAAGTAGATGAGTGTAAATTGAGGGGATTGGATAAACAGAACGTTGCAAACCTGTAGGTCCATTATGTGCAAGGAGAACAACGGAGTGGTCCTCTGGAATCCCTAGAGCCGCTTCATAGATTTTCTTTGCACTTTCTTCCATATCATTAACTCCATACCTAAGCGAATGAGCTATTGACTCAATATACCTCAAAGAAAAAATATTTTAATATTTACAGGATGACACAGTGATTTTCGAAGTTGTACTGCTGTCATATTAATAAATAGATTATAAAACATTTCAATGATGCTAGCTATAGTCATCTATCTTATGGTATTAATCCAGATTTCTAAATGTTTTATCACTTGGTTATTCATTTTAAAAAAAAAACACTTGGTTACTAGTCTGAGCTCAAACAGAGTTAGTATTTAAAGTTTAGCTTTATTTTGTATTTATGAGTTTCAAGTTTGTCTAGGATTCAAACTTGGAAAACTGTTTAGGCCCGTAGACTTTCCAGAAATTCTCTGTTAAATTTTCTCTATTTACTTAGGCTACTGAAACCTTGAATATATCACTATGAAAGTTTCTGCAACACAAAGGCAGTTAGAAATAGAGTTCAGTAGAACATTCTGTATTAGTGGCATAAGAGATTAAAAGGGTGGATTGTTGATTAAAAGGCTACGTTTGGGAACTTGGATTTGGGCCCTAGATTTAAAATTCAGGGTATTTCAAATCCAAATCTCTTGTTTGGGCTCTAAGTTGGGCTAAGATTTGAAATCAACTTATTTTGAAGAGGGAAATTTAGAAGCCCAAATACGCGTATTTCAAATCTCACCCCGCCCCTAGGTATTTGCCAAATCCCGACCGGACTCCTCTCTCATTTCTCAGTCCCGATTCCGACTCTCAAGTTCTCTCTAACCTCTATCTCTCCTCTCTCCCCTTCTCCTCTCTCGTCATCGCATTTACTCACCACCGTCTGTTCCCTCCTCAGGATCTCGTCGCCGTCGTCGCCCCCGCTCTCCCCCTCGCCGTCGATCTCAGCTCTGGCGAGGGTTTCGACGTCGTCTCCGCCGCTTTCAGCCAAGTGACACTTCACCACACTAGATCCCCACTCCCACTTCCACATCGAAGGCGACTGAGCCTAGCTTGCGACCGAGGGTTCTTTTCGATCGAGCGCCTAGGGTTTCCGTAACATGCGAAAGGTTCGACTCTGATTGATTTTTCTTCAAATATCAAGATTGCGTATTGAGGAACTGAAGGATTTAAAGGAGGGAATTGAGGAGGAGGAGGAGGAGATCTTCACCCCTGCGCTTCTCTATGATCTTTTCATCAGGAAGAAGATCCAGGCGGAGTTTCGGTGGTTGATGAGGTCTGTTTTCTCTATTTTCTCTGTTTAATTGGTAATGGATTTGTTTAGAAGACTGAAAATTTTTCCATCTTACGTAGAATTGTGTTATAATGTTTGTTCGATAATATTTGGAGGTTCTCTGCGTGGGAATTTGGTAGTGAAAAGAGTTGGATTTATATACAGAATTCAAGTTTAATCAATTAAACAACAACCACCACCAGCGAAACTTTCTTGGTTACATCCAACCTAGTTCTCTTAGGCCTAACTCTAGTACATTTAGTAGTCTCTTCAAGTCTACGACACTCGTGAGGTGGAAGTTTCTAGATATGATGCAGACAGAGGGCATTTTCTAAATTATGATGAGTCTACGATATTTCTTGAATGCCATCCTATGTATCTGGTTTTGGCGGTGAGATGATGAGCATAATAACCAACAAGAGTTATTAATAACTTGAATGCAAATCTTTGCAAACATAAAAGGTGAAGATTGTGTTATCAATTTGTTCTGCATAGTTTGATGATGCACACGTTATTCACCATCATGGTTCCTCTACTTTTTCTAATAAGGATACCAAATTAAAAATCCTTGCAATTCTCAAGATATTATCGTGATTTTTAAATGTAATTCTCTTATTTATAGCTTCTTGAATGTTTATTTTTGGTTTCAATATTTATCTTTTACATTAAGCATACTGCTCATATTCCATGGTTCATGTTTCACTTCTATTACTGTTAAGCAATATTGAAAATTAAGTCATAAATTATCATGTATCATTATCACTACTCTCCACAAAAATTAAGTCATAAATGGTTAAATCCAATCCAAAAGCATCTCCACAAAATTTAGATCATCCACTTTTGTGTGAGGCATTGATTGATGTGTTAAAAGTTATAAGCAAAGTTGTTTTAGATGATCATCTTCAGGTCTTGTCCGTTTGACATTTTGAAAGAACGCATTTTGTAGCTTTGTTAATGTTGGTGATGTAAAATCATCTGAATTGACCTGTTATAACATGATGAGTATTGTATTATTATGCTAGTCCCGGTGTGCCTCTTTTGATATCTCTCGGTCTATCTTCTGGCACTACATGATTTTCCAATGTTACAGAAGACATTTCTGTAACTTTTTAGATATTTATTCTATGTTTATTTAATTGAAGACAATATGTGCTTAGTTTCTATTAATTCTTTGTTGAGTTGAAGTTTCAGTGTATAATTCTGAGTTTTATGGCTGTAACTTGGTCATTGCAGTGTTTATTTAGTTTGCTATATGGTTACCCCCCACCCAAAAAAAAGTGACTTTTTGATTGATAGAGTAAATATCGTGGTTATTATCCTCACACATGCATGAATATTGTGTTCACCACCTGTTATTTCAATCGGGAAAAAGTAATTATACCCTCTGTAATAATAGGTCATATTTTTCTTTAAAAAAAGGCCTATAGATCTGCAAAATCTAGTTTAAACTAGAAGTTGTAAAGAGTTTAAACTGGGAAACGGTAAAGTATGACTTTTGTGATTCTTTCCAACATGAGTGCATTATAGGGTTTTTTTGCTTCTGTGTTCTACTGAGGTTATGTTCTTGAATTTTTTTTCATTGATATTCTTGTTTTGTTTCTTAAACAACGTTGCTCTAATACATTTGCTATGAGTTTCTTTTGCTAGGTGCAGTTCCATTTCCTAGTCATGTTCAATGCTTAAAAACTTGGTGTTTGTGGAGTAATCACCTTAAATGAGCCATACGAAACATTGGTGCCTACATCATTTTATCTTGTAAGTATTTACTTTTATTTGGTGTTTGTGCATTTGGTGTCTTTTAACTCTTCTAGTACTTCCTTTCTGTTATATATTTTCTCCGCATTTTTATATAAGAACATTATATTTTCTATTTTATATTCTGACCCCTGATCCCTTCCTAAAAAAACAGATGATGGATGATTCTTTCTTCATATTATTGGGATATGTGTTGTATCTACCATAGTATCGAGTGGGCTTTAAGCCTAGTGAACCTTTGGATAGTGCTACGGTTTAGGGGGTTACTGAAACTTGCAAAATGTTTCACTGTCATTTCTGATTGTTCTTGGTACACACTTGCGGCTATTGCTGCTGTTAGGCAGATTAGTTGAATCGTTTCTGATTTGGTCCATTCATGTGTAATTTGTCTCTATTTATGGACAGCAAGGCTCAAAGTACTACAAAATCAATGAAGGCATTGACATTACCTGTTATCTTTTCTTGTGAAGTAATCTGGACCTCGTGGACATTCGCATCTTCAAGTAACAGGGGCTAACCACCAATTTTGGGATATTTCGTTTAATCTGCTGTTAGGCAGATTAGTTGAATCGTTTCTGATTTGGTCCATTCATGTGTAATTTGTCTCTATTTATGGACATCAAGGCTCAAAGTACTACAAAATCAATGAAGGCATTGACATTACCTGTTATCTTTTCTTGTGAAGTAATCTGGACCTCGTGGACATTCGCATCTTCAAGTAACAGGGGCTAACCACCAATTTTGGGATATTTCGTTTAATCTTGTCAAGGGTTCACTTGTTAGCCTCATGTGAATTTGATTAGATGTTAAACTTATGGTAGTCCGCTCTTTGCATATCTGCAAAAGCGTTAGTTGATGTTCAGTCTCTGAGATTGGTGATGCAGATAATGCTGGGGTTATTGTGAACCCAAAGGGGGGAAATGAAAGGTATATTACATCCTTTTCCCATGGATTATCCTTTTTTTAACCATCTCAGCATCATACTCTATTTTGTACATGCATTGTTGTTTGTAGTGAAAACTGTAATGCATAAATTTATTTTTGCTTCTTCATCTAATATATATCAATCAATGTTTTCTGCTTCTTTAGGATCTGCAATTACTGGACCAATTGGAAAGGAGTGTGATAATAATGATTCATATATTGGATATCGTTATTGAAAATTTATTAATAAATAAGCTACTGGAAAATTTGAAGATATTTTGTCAAACTTCTCAGGGGTTTTGTGAAATTTATCCTAACTTTTACCTCAACATAAACCTTAATGTCCGCATAAAAGATTGAGGAGTTAAGAGAAAGCATAAATTTTCTTAAAACACAAATTCTGTAATCCAAGTTCATGTATAATAAAGTGTATCCAAACATTATATTTGAAATCTTTGATTTCAAATCCTTGCATTTTGTAAAGATACCCAAACAAAAGATTCTATCAAATCATTGATTTCAAATCCTTTATTTAAAATCCTTTGATTTTGAATCAACATTCCAAATCCAAATCTTAGTTCCCAAACGCAGCCTTAATCTTTTTGTCTTACTTTTCATTAGAATTTGAATAACATTAGAAATATTAGGTAGTCCCAGCTACAGATTGTTAATGCTATTTCCAGAATATACATCTCATTCTTTACAAAAAGAACTCAAATTTTACATCTTCACTAAATTGAACCTATAACAGGAACCAACACAGATTTAATTTCAAGTTGACTGTAGAAAAGTCTTCACTTGAATTGCAACTTTTTAAAAATTCAAACCTCGTATGAATTACTAACCTTGCAGATAGAAGCCTGGGACGAAATAATGCTTCACCTCCACAAGAAAATGGCCGGCCACCAACCACACTAAGCTGTAGAGTTGGGAAATCTAAACGTTTGTAACCAACATGCTGCTGGCCGAGACTGCTCAACAACAAATTGTATCTCAAAAACCAGAAAATAAAAGGGAAAAGAATATGCCTATGCTGAGCTCCTGACCCTTGTTATGGAAGCAGTTACCGGTCTTTTACCTAGTTACTCTAAAATCTTACATAAAAACATAATAAATGAAAATTCCACTATTACAAAATAACATAATCTAGTGGAAAATTCCTAATACTAGAATCTCACTTAATAATAATGATAAAAATAAAGGCATGGAATTTAAAAGAGTAAAAGGGTCATTTAATTGGAGTAAAGTGAATGCGCTGGAGTTGGGTTGTTACAGCACAAAAAGTCATAATGCCAATATACTTCAAGACTATATTTGAAGAATGTACAAACAATTAGCATGTATGCTATATATGAATATAAACCTTAAAAAATTCAGGATTATAAATTATATAATTAACCGGAGTAAACTATACATCATGATTAACAGTAACATCAGTGCAAGAAGCAGAAGACTAACGGACTAGCAAGAAATACAGTTTGATCAGACATGCAATTAGAGAATTTAAGTGATGAAGACTAGAGATATTACCATTCCAATTGAAGCTGTACACGATCTACCTTCCTGAAAGTGATAGGAAATGGAAGAATTAGCCCAAGAGTCACCTCAGGATATCAATATATCAAATATCATGAATAACATTAGACTATATGCTGATTATGTCCACGAATCTTACTTATCTCGCTCTGAGAACTGATGAGTTCGCCAAGCATCATGGTTACCCAAAATAACAGATTTTGGGATATCAAGGATTGAAATGCTTCTAACAAGCTCGACATTCTCATTGCCATAGTCACCTTTGAAAAACATTTACATCAAACGAGAACCGTGGAAGCATTATTTGACAGAAAGGTCAAAAATCTCAAAAATGAAAATGTGTAAGTTTTCTTCCGATAACAACAAAACCAAATAGCAAACTTTTTGTTGGCAAGATGAGAGCATCACCAATAAAAGGAAAGAGGACATGCCTGTAAAGAGAACCAAATCAGGCTGCATTTAACACGTAAAAACAGTTAGATTCTTGAGGTAAGGTGTTGATGATGATAGCAAAGCATCACATAAAAGAAAATATGATTAGTCTAATAAAGTTCTCTAAAAAATACATGATAAAGACATCCACATCCTGGAAGTCATCACTTCTATGCTTGTAGGATTTGACAGTTCAAGTAAAATTAGCATATCAGAAATGCGAGTAAAATATGATGAATCCTCAATCATGAAGGAAGAAGTGAATGTTTAATAGATATCACTTAAAAACAAGATACATTGTTATTACTGGTACACTTGGCATTTGATTTCTAGGATTTAAATGAGAAAAACAAAGTTACAAACAGAACATAAATAAAAGTAAAAAACATGTTAACGCAGGTATAACCTGAAAAAAAAGGCCCAACTTATACCATTTGTCATTTGAAAACACAGTTTCCCTGAATTAAAAAGAGTGACCTATCTATCACAGAAACAAACTTGAAACTTCTGTTTGCCTCTGAGCATTTTCATGAATGGTCTACCTTGAGTTCAAAAATGATTTTCGAGATAATGTGCAAGCTATTTATAATGTGGCCATCTCATAGAACTTTCACGTTCAACAAGATGGAAATTGACAATTTTCTTAAATCTATGTGTGTCTTACTAGTCACCTACAAAAAGAAGAAAAATTCCCTTATTTTTGTGCCGTGGAATGGGAAAGTGTTGTTTTCTGCTCTTTGGTATACACGTCTGGTAACTGATGCAACCCCCCCCCCCCCCCCCCCAAAAGAAGAAAAATTCCCTTATTTTTGTGCCGTGGAATGGGAAAGTGTTGTTTTCTGCTCTTTGGTATACACGTCTGGTAACTGATGCAACCCCCCCCCACCCCCACCCCCAAACAAAAAAAAACAAAAAAAAAACCACCACCCTTGTTCTAAACTCTTTTTCACTGAGAACTTAAAACATTTGCACTATGGATTTGCGAGTTCAAAATGCATGAATAATAACCAATGAATGCTCTAGGATTCATGGGAACCCTCTCTCTTGTCTATGATTCTTTTTGTCCCGAATCTGACTCCTAATTAGGGGCTTGATGTCAGCTTAATAGCCAGTCCTAAAATCTTTTATAGCCTTATGCTAGAGAATCACCTCCTTTTTGAAGGGAAAATATTAAGACATTGATGACGATATACTCCACAAATGCATGCACCATCTGCATGGTTCATGTTAAGCTTAAGACAAGCAACATTCCCAACTCCACCTACTCATGATCTGTGGTATGTGGATCATGCTTCATAGATCATTGCTGTGTCAAGCTGAGTCAAGTATAGATGATGAGATGCAATTTCACAGGTATGACTAAGGCTTGCATAATTTCATTCCCGATAAAACATGTCTTATCAAAATGTTGTACTTGCAAACGAAGAATAAAATAGTCCCACATCAATCAAGAGGATTATTATTCCTCAAAAAAACCATACTTCCATACAACGTGAAAACACAAATCACATTAAATACACACTTGTTCAGCAAATTATTAAAGGTACTGCTAAATACTTGATAAGGGGACAAAACAATAACTGAGATTTGTGACTCGATGGTCACTGTAACTCTCTTCCATTGTTATAATTAACGTAAAAGGCCAGACAATTTCACAGGAAAATATTACCTGTAAAAAGTGTAGGGCTCTTGAATCTTCTTCTAGGTCCCAATCATCGTGCTTCAAAAAAAAAATCACAGTAAGTTATGTAGTAAAGTTAGAAACATAATATAACAGAGAAAATAGTCATTTCCTTGAACAACTTACTTAAGGAACAATTTTATACCACGGGAAAGAGGGTGTCTGCTATTTAGTATGTAAAGAATACATGTCTTGGAATAAACAACACAAACAAGCAGTTACCTTCTCTAAATCCACATCTAAAACATGTCCATTTAAAAAATTAATAATGCACAATACATGTAAAGAGAGATATAGACATCATCATAATGGAGATTAACTTGAGCATATCTTGCATGCTGGATACTGGAGGCATACATAAGCCTTCGGACACTACATCAAATTAAACGGCTATACAATCCAACAACCAAAGAGATACGATATTCCTTTATTTCGTTTGAGTTTTTCATGTCACATCATTATTTTCAACTTATCTGACCATATAAGCTTGTGGACCAAGAAGAATTCCAAAAAAAACAAAAACAAATCTAAAGATGAAGGTTCCATCAAAAGACGAAGAAAAGGAGGAAGCCTCAAGCTACATGTTCAAGCACCAACAAATATTGTATAATCTTCAGAATGGTGATGTTGGTGCACTTCCTTGAGTAAGGATGAATTCTATAAAAATTTATAAATAACCGCTCATTTAATCTTAAATCCTATGGATACATGTCAGAAGTTCCAAGACATATTCAAAAGCATTTGTACAAGTCAGTTATCATGCTCAAGTAAATGTCTTGGTATAACAGTCTTCTATATGCATTCCAAACTGTAATATCTAATGGCCCCCAACATGGACAAGTATTGAACTTTATATCAGTTCATGAGATTGAATGCTTTTTTACTCTATAGCAAGGTTGTGTTGCTGAGACATGCTACGTTACAAACCGACACTTCACTGCTACTTTGCATGTGTAGTTTTCATAGAATCTACAGTGTGTAGTTATGCATGTTAAGTTATGTAGTATTTCTTCATTGGAATGTCAATCCAAGATTCTTAGACAATGGATCATCAGTATTTAGCAATTGCGGAGGTCATAAGATGTACACAGTACTAATGGTTTGGTAGAATGCGCAAGATTCCTAATAATTCCAAAAGTATTATATATTTCAAAGTAATTTCTGACCCTGAGAATTGTTGTTCAGCTTATTTTCACCTTAAACTTTCATGGAAGAACTCTACATCCGAGGAATACCGGCTTGCTTCCATGTTTTGGTTACAACTTACAAAAGTTATAAGGGTCATGAAGTAATAGAGAGTAAAATACTGGGCACTTCACAGGTATAAGGTCAGTATATGCCCTTATGCACAGTTTAATCCAATTTCATAACCGGATATAATGACTCTAATTAGTTTTCCCTTGACTATGAACATATTACCTCTCATTTTTCTAAATAAGACCCATTTTTTATCATCATTAAACCTCAGTTCCATAACTTTTCTCTAAAAAAATAGGGGGGGGTGGGGGGGGAGAGAACATATTTTCAGGCATGCTCAAACAATAGTAGTAGTAATAAATAACATGATCACAGACCTCTGGATATCAGATTGAATGCCACAGAACACAAAACAGTCTAAATTCCTCAGTTAGATTCCCAAAGCACCTCAAACATAAAATGAGCGATGTAGCTCAAAGCTTCTATTGACACCACATTACATTTTTTTTCCTATAGTTGAAAATAACTACATGTGCGTTATTTGCCAATAATCAGGGAGCAAATGATCAAAACTATAAAAGGGATAATGAATACATGAGATGAGGTAATAAGAATAAGAGAGGGGGATCAATATCGTTAAACAGTATAGAATTAGAAGCTTTTATTAGTTTTTAGATAGTTCTTAGGTAATCTCAAATAAAATGAGAACACTTTCTGTTGGTCTGTTTGTTTGTCTAAAAAAAGTGGGAAATCAAAGAAATGGAAAACTATTTCTAAGAAGAATTGTTTTGGGAGTGTTTGGTTTGCTAAAAAAAAAGGAAATCAAAAAAATGGAGATGAGATGAGATGAGTTATCACCTTATTATAGGATGATGTAAGTGATTTTTTAAGAAAACTTGTTTTGATGTTGTTTGGTTGGCGAAAAAAATAAGGAAATGAATAATAAGAAACCTATTTCTTGTAATAGGTGTTTTTTTTTTGTTTGGTTCATACTTAAAAATAAAAAAGAGTGCTGCTACGGGGACCCAAAATATGGGACCAAGGAAGGGGACAGATGAGGTGTCCCCTCCCTATTGCATAATGAATTGGCATGAGTTGGCATGGCTAACTCATTATGCAATAGGAATGGGACACCTCACATGTCCCCTCAATTGGTCCCATATTTTGGGTCCTTAAATCATTTTCCAATAAAAAAATAGATGAGATGAGATGAGTTGTCATTATATTATTGGATGATGTGACCCAAACTTAAGAAAATTGTTTTCCTAGTTTTTTGGGAGGAAATGGGTGAAAATGAAATGTTAATGAGATGAGATGAGTTGTTACCATCTTATTAGATGATGTGAGTGATTTGAAATGATCAGTTGAGTGATGTTGTAGATGAAAATAATATTTTATTAGATGTGGTGGATGAGTTGTTGGATAAAAATAATATTTTATTAGATGTGGTGATGTGGTGGATGAGTTGTTGGATGAAAATAATATTTTATTAGATGTGGTGGATGTGGCGGATGGGTTGTTGGATGAAAATAATATTTTATTAGATGTGGTGGATGAGTTGTTTGATAAAAATAATATTTTATTAGATGTTGTGGGTGGGTTTTATGGATGGAAATGGATAAAATTGTACTTTTTGAGTTTTCTTTGTTTTCATTTCTATTTCTTGGTTTTTTAGGAAATAACCAAACAGGCCCTTAATATAAATCTATAGTCCTCGATCCTCACCCCATAACTTTAAAGCGTGGTGTAATAAAGTTCTGATGTGATGGTTGGAGTGACTAAATTTAAGATGATTTTAGAGCAAACCAAGTTCATATCTCAACGTCCACGAATTTAAAACAAATTTTCTAAAAATTAACATCATTAACATATTAGGATTAACATAAAACTATAATCATCCATTATCACCATAAATTCATAGTTTTGATCAAATGATTAGAGGGACTAAATTTAAAATTTTCACTCTTATAACTAAAATTCCAGCACATCAACTCAATCGCCATAGTTTTCGACCTCACAGCCAACAAGCAATCAATCAACAACCAACCCCAAACCAACAAAAAAATTAACAAATTCTGCAATATTGAACCCAAACAAACTCACCACATCACCGACGATCGCGATCCTGACAGCTCGCGGCTGCGACATGGCCGATCTCTTGAGCTTAGAAGAAGAGGAAGACATCGAAGCAGAGAAGAACAATGGAGGAGGAGGGGGAGATTGAGGGTGAGCTGAGGCGTTGATTCTCAGTACCCATGTGCGAATCATTTATGGGCCTCAAAGGCCCTCTCTTGGGTCTTGACTCCTTGAAGTTTTGGACTGGAGACGAAAAATGGAAGTTCTAAGCTTTTCGCTGTTCTCGGCTTCTGGGGCAATTCGCACGTGACATACACGCTGCTGAGTGCTGACTGCTGAGGCCTTTATCCGGTAGAGCGGTTGAGAGGCGAGACTACCACTCACTTTGTCATTCGCAAAAGGACAAATTTTTATTTTAGACCCATTTAGAAATTGGGAAAATTGCTTCCAGCCCCCAAAACAACACAGAACGTGCTCTGCTCCCCCAAGACCTTTTCAACGTGCCTTTTACCCCCAAAACCGCCCCCGATTTTCTTCCAGCCCCCAAAACCATCCCCAGGCGCGTAACCGCCGTATTAAAACCCCGGCGCAATGCCAAATACCCTTTACGTACTTAAATTCCGTTATGAGTTACCCTCGTCCGTACCCTGTCATCTCTCTCTTCTGCAAGCAACGACGTCCAGGAAATCCACATTCCAAAGTCCTCTCTCAGTCTTCTATTTTGAGCAGACAGCTTAGCCACCTTCACAGAAAGAGCACTTATCTTTACATGGTCTGCAGCAATCATACCCTTGAATTTATTCTCGTTCTCGCGGCGTAATGATTCATTCATTGCCGCGATGCTCTTCTAGTAGATAACTTGCTGAGACCAATCCATTTGCTCAACTGCATCATTTGGCTGCTCGGCGTCTTCATCAATATCCTGTGGCATCACATATGCAACGGACAGGTAGAGTACTATTAAAAGGATTAATTAATTCAAAAACAAATGAAATCAACGATTGCTAAGTTCTTACAAGTGCATCAATTGGGATGTCGTCATCTTCTTCTCTCCTCTTCTTCTTGTGAAGAAGGTCTATTGGGCCACGAGCCCTGCCGGCGTCCTGCAGCCGGACCCTTAATCCTCCTCTTCTCTCTCTCTCTCTCCTCTTCTCTTTCTCTATCCCCTGCTCCTTCCCCCAAAAACCTCCCTCGATTCTTTGAAGTTGTCCATGTTGCTGTGGAAGCTTTATCGTAGCTTTGCTTGCTTTCGCAACAACAGTGGCCAATCTCAAAGAACCAGCAACGTGCCCAAGTCTCACCCAATTTGTCAGGGGAGGCCTCACCGTACAACCAAGTGCTGGCTTCTTGATGCCGGTGAGTTCATAATACCACAACTGCACATTAGAGATATAAAAACTTAACAAACACCTTCATCCGTAACAATTAATAAAGTACCCCTAACAATAAAAACGTAACCTTAACAACCAAACCTTAATATTAACAACCAAACCGTAACCTTGACAACGAAACTGTAACATTAACAACTAAACCCTAACCTTCACAATCAGTAAAAAACATGATTACTTACACAAACTAGAGGGGTACACCCTTGCAGATATAATGTCGTCTTCCCTGGCTCAGGACCCTTCAGTGCCCTCTCTATCGCGTCAGATGTCTCACTGAATATATAGGTCCCCCAAGCAGTGTTGTTGACCTGTTCGATGCTGTCGACGTACTTGAATAAATGCCTAGGAACGCCGGAAACACTGCTTGGACACCAAATCATGCTCAGCTGATAGAGGATCTGTAGCAGGACAAAGTCCTTCACATCTCGGCGATCAGAAGATAGTACCAGCTTCAAGAGCAGGTCCTCCACATTGCGTCTGGTGGGGCCTCCTTTGGGGGGAGCTATACTGCTGGAACCCCCCGTCTCGGGTTTGTCAAAGAACCTGGACCAAATCCTATTTTTCCTGTCCCGATTGTGGTCAACATGAAGCCCCTCATTGGAGAACCATGTATGCTCCATTACCCACTCAAGGTTGAATGAGCATGGGATCTCTTCTCCATCATTCCTATCGGTGAAGACGAATTTTTTGCTCTTCTTGTCCCACTGACTCAAAATGTGCTCAAAGGTGGGAAGATCGACGCCAGGTGGGCCAAATTGGACGTAGTGTCTGAATACACTATCTTCGTAGGCCGCAAAATGCCTTGGCCCCATACGCGTCACCAAATTCTGCATGAAGTCGTGATAGGCACCGAAGCTGGCGGTGGGCCGCAACGTAATAGCTGGCTTTGCCCTTTTTCTACAAAACAAAAACACAAGACGAGAGCATTTTTGAGTATAATCAGTAAACATAACAGCTATGCTGTAAACTTTGCGGGTAAACCAACAACCTTAACAGCAACCACATAACCTTAACAACAAAAACCTAACCTTAACAACCAAAGCCTAACCTCAACAACTAAACAACAACCTTAACAATAAAGGCAGTAACCAACAACCTTAACAACAACCCCACAATCTTATCAACCAAAACCTAACCTTAACAACCAAAGCCTAACCTCAACAACTAAACAACAACCTTAACAATAAAGGCAGTAACCAACAACCTTAACAACAACCCCACAACCTTATCAACCAAAACCTAACCTTAACAACCAAAGCCTAACCTCTACAAATAAACAACAACCTCAGCAATAAAAGCATAGACCTTGCATGTTAACAGTAACCTCAACAGCTAACAGACACCGTAATTTTGGACCTTCCCACCAGACTAAGAGCATTATCAATCAAACCGTAACCTTAACAACATAAAACTTGCGGTAAAAATTACCTTTTGGGTGCTGCCACGTGCTTCTCTTCTTCTCCTCTCTGTAGACCAAGGAGCGCTCTAGTGGCATCGTTGGACGCGCCGGTGGTGCCGGTGCTGCCCTCTAGACCTTCGCGGGGGCCTACACTTCTATTTTGAGGCCGGCTTCTGGGATGAGAATGGCTGGTTGCGATGTCCTCTAGAACATCAGCAATCGCAGTTCGAGTTTCAGATTCAGTCCGCACTGCAGTTGTATGGGCTCTTTCTGAGATTTCGAACCGCTGGGCGTAATCGCTTTTGCTGTGGTCGGCATTGAGGTTGGCTTTGGGGGTTGAATCGCCGACCATTTTGATCCCTTTGCTTTGATTCGGTTTGAGTTGGGGTCGGTTGATTTAGGGCTAGGGTTTTGAATTGGGTTTCTGGAGTCGGTTTGCTTGCAGAAGAGAGAGATGACAGGGTACGGACGAGGAGGTAACTCATAACGGGGAATTTTAAACGTAAGGGTATTTTGGGCATTTCGAGCGGGGTTTAAACGGCGTTACGCCTGGGGATTGGTTTTGGGGGCTGGAAGAAAATCGGGGGCGGTTTTGGGGGTAAAAGGAACGTTGAAAAGGTCTTGGGGGGGCAGAGCATGTTTTGGGTTGTTTTGGGGGCTGGAAGCAATTTTCCCTTAGAAATTTAATTCTAACAATCGATCTTTTTTAACTTTAATTACAAATCCTGTAAAGTTTAAGTTACTTATTAACAAGCTCATTAAGAAGGTCAAATCTTCACGGGATTTTAAATCCCGTAAAGTTGCTTGCCAAATTCTAGAGAGCATTGCTCTCTGGCAAGGTGGCATGCAACTCCACGGGATTTGAAATCCTGTGGAATTGCGGCAAAGCCTATATAAGGCCCACGCGATAACAAATCGCGTTTACCCGACCCCCCCCCCCCTCTCTCTCTGCTCCTTCACGATGAGAATATTAACTGACCTTTATACCGTCACCCTCCTCTGTCACCCCATCGTCGCCGTCGCCGTTGTATTGTCCACCGGCCATCATCGATCCCGTCACCGCCGCCGTCTCCGTCGGAGTTCATCGGAAATTAGGGTATCGACAAAGTTTAGGTAAAATTTTTTAAAAAAATTATTTTTTCTCCTAATTTTTTTTACATATTCTCACTATTTAATGCTAATAACTTGTTTAAATTTAGATTTTGACATAATTTTTAAAATATTTATGAATTTTGTGAAGAAAAATTAAAGAAATTTGTGTATGAAGTTAGAGGAAAATTTACCAAAAGTTATAAAAGTTAGTGTATTATAAAGGTTTGACATTTAGTTAAAATTATGGATGCCTAAAATTAATATTAGAGGATTTAATGGTAAATAATATTTTTTTGTGCTTTTCGTGTAATATTGATATTAGAATTTTTTTCCTCTTTAGAGGTAACGATGAACAATTAATCTTAATTCTTTGTTCATATAATAAAAAGATTAACTATCTTGAGAATAATATGCTCATATATGAAGGAGGTGTGATGAAGCCGTTGTTTATATCAAAATCATGAACTTTCGATGAATTGGTTAATGACTTAAACAAACTTACATTAACCAATCCACATGAGTATCACCTCAACATTATTTGCAATTATCTTGTTACAAGGAATAGAACAAGCGACATTCAAATCTCAAGTGACTACGATATGGGTCTTATTGGAATATTGCATGACGAGAAGTGTTCGGTGGAATTATTTATTAAAAAGCATCACATAAATTTGGGCAAATCAGTGAATCACGATAAAGTATACTCTCGCATGTTGGAGGACCTTAAAGTTGACTCTGACGACTTTTTATCTCCACAACAAGATATAGGATGGACACAGCCATAATACTTGAGCGGTCATTCGCTTGTGAGCACTTCAAATGCCTTCGATGATAGCGCTCCCTATCAAGATATAATGTCTTTCACATGAGTGACGATAGAGGATGATAATGCAAGTGTCGAATTCGAGGACGATGATGAAGAGAATGACTTATAAATCAATAGCATGACGTGTTTGATAGATCGTGATGAAGGGGACAACCAATATATTGGCCGATATTACTCTAACAATGAGTATGTCGTGTTAGAGGATCCGCCATCCGATGAATTTTATGGAGAAGAATGGATTGATAACTCCACGATAGAAAGTATTCCTATCAGCACTAATTTAGATGATGATACACAAGGTGAGGATTTCTCATTCAGAAAGGGCGATCTATTTGAAAGCAATGAGAAATTAATTCATACGCTTCTGTTAGTGGGCCATCCAAAAAATATCAAGTTTAGACAGACAAAAAGCAATGCAACAAGCTATAATATAGTTTTTTTTTACCGTAAAGATGGTGAGGAAGAAGATAGTGACGGGCATCATGATGTTAGGTCTCATGTTATGAGCCTACATCTTCTAATCTTATTTTGATGATTACAAATAATTCCTAATATTGTTCGTCTAATGTTTATGTTTTCTTATTAGGTATTCTGGACAAATAATATGTTAG